TTGAGAATGGCGGAGATGACATCACTGAGGTGATAATTGAATAAGAATAGAAAAATCAGAGAGAAATGATGAATACAAAAAATCAGGGTAACAGAATGTCAGCATACAGATTGTAGAGGTTATGAGGGGTAGAATTTAAGCAAATTAATCACCGGTGAATGTGGAGGTTATGGTCCTGCATAAGCTTTCTCTTCACACTCTTAATTCCTAGCACATGACCATATTCTTCCTCCATTGTATTGACCAGTTGCACAAGTGCCTCATGAGTAATTTTGTTCAAGTCAATATCGTCTCGTTGTCGGTTAAGCTGGAGTCTCTTCTCATAGCGGGTCAGGGTTGAGCGGCTAATGTTGATCTTGTTTTCATTCTTCAAAGAGATAATGGTTCTTTTCTGATTATAACTTTTACCGTGCTTGTCTAACACAGCTTGCTTAACCATCTCTTCATCATAATTCCCTCGGTGTTTAAGTCCCCATGCTTCAATACGGCGACGGATGGTGCGGACACTAATCTTGATTTGATGGCTTCTCCAGATGTTGTCGGAGACTGATTGGGCGGTCCACTTGTGGTGATGAGCTTCCTCAAGGATTGGATGTAAGATTTCATCGGAGATATCAATCTTTGCAGGCATGATAAAGCAGAAGAGTAAAGGGGTGATATGTTGAATTGATTGACAAAAGTGTGTTAAAGTGACAAGCAGGGATGTTGGTGTTGCACAGTTACGAATGGATGCCCAGTGAGGTACAATGTTTTTGATGCGACAGGCGATAGGGTACAAGTGATGAGACTGTGAGAGTGTGTGGATGTTTTCAAGTGTTGTGATAGGTTTAGGTTTTGGCGGTTGAGTTGGAAGTATTTGTATTTACACATGGTGTTTTGTGGATCGGTTGAGATTTTGAGTTGTTGTTTTTGTGAATTGTGTTTGCGAAACTGGTTTTTTTGAAATTTTATGGTATTATTTGTGTCAAAGTGACAAGGAATGAGTGAAATTCCGACTTGTGGTTGGAAAATGTGGCCAAAGTGGCAAAAACATATGTTTTTGCCCAAATACAGGTGGTTTAAGTCCAGTATTTGAGTTTAATCCACAGTTTTGTCAGGTTTTTTCAGTTTTGCACCCGCGGATTTTGAAATTTCAATTTTTGAAATTTGAAGTTGTCACTTTGACCCACCTCGCATTCCGTAGAAATTGAACCTATAAACCAAGTTGGTTTCGGTTTTGATTTCTAATGATTAAAGACAAATATTGATCATCCAATCACTCAGTCTGAGATCTGAAAAGTTTGAGTTTAATGTTGGAAAGAAAGTGAGAACAACGACTTTTGACACAATTTACTCCTTAAATACATGTGTGAATAGTCACAGCCTTAACACACATATACATCCACCTGTGAACTTGTAGCCCAGCTTTCACGCATGTGTGGATTTCTTGAATTTCTGATGGTTAAAGAAGTGACTCACACATCTTAAGATAATAAATGAACACCAGACGCACATCAATAGATTCTATGTTTATGTCACTTCAAGCTACACCTACACATACACATGGATGGTATGGTATTATTTGTGGGTCTTTGTGTTTCACACCCTTCACACATATCAGAGTGAGTGAAGTGTATGAGTCACACCTCAAACCCCTGACACTCATCTATACATTACCAGTGTAGGTGGGTAATGTATCATGTGTGTGTGTCACACCCTTCACACATATTTGGAGTGATGATTGGTAAGTGTCACACATGTCTGGTCTGACTTCTTCAGACCGTTGGATCATATGCCTTGTTTGAGTCACTCCCTTAACACAGATTTTAGAGGGGTAAAGTGTGTGAGTTACATATTGTAAGAGAGGAGTGCGGGTTACAAGTTAGAAGTAGATAGTTACACATAGTATTACAGTTGGATTAGTACTGAGGGTTCTTATAAAGATTTTGTCTCCTCTCTTCCTTCTTCTCTTTGAGGATTTCCGTTTACTCTTCCTCTTTCTTATTGTTCTCTTTAGATTGATAGATTGGTACTTCAGCTTTCCAGGAATACAACTTGGTGATAGTTCTGTCTGGCTACGGCCGTGAGAGAACAGAGACTCAGCAAAGGTCGAGAAGTACCTCGACCTTACACATATGAGGGAAACTGATCCTTTTCAATCAAGTTTGAGTGGCTCACACCTTTCACACATGTGTGGGTGACTCACACTTACATAGAAATGTCTCTATGCTTGGCCATAAACATAGTTTTCATTTGATTGATTTCACACATGGACAACTATCATTTCAAGCAAAGGGTAAATTGTTGAGTAAAGATTATCATTGATCATATATAGGTTGGTGTTTCAATTGGACTTTCCATTTTGAGAACAAAAACAGGATTTAAATTTCAAAAGAGTATTGAATAATTGAATGAAGAAAAAGAAAAGAAGAATTCATGTTATTCAACCTCAACAGCGGAAGATGTGAGCTACTAGCGTCTGTTGGGCTAGTAAATCACTAAAAAAGGTGGGAGATGATAAATTGACTTTATCATCAACGTGAAAATCTTCTTTGAAGTTCTAAAAAAGGTTGGTATTGAAGCAGTGGGATTGAATCCGTACTGACTTCAGTTAGATGACCTTTAAGCAAAGGTTTTTGGATACAAATCCGGGAATCAATGCAAGACCTGAGTCTTCTAGCAGGATTGAAAGTAGAAACTACAGTCTCTTGTATCATGACATCACCTGGCACTCATGACTTGTAACCATACAGGCACTCTGGTACATATACCATATACCAGCAAAATCTGAAGGTACCTTATAGACCAAAGAGCTCAAAAGTTGGGTATCAGCACAGTGGGGTCAATGATGACCCAATCCATCTGTTAGTCTGGTTTTGGTTTAACCTGTGATGACAACAAAGAAACTGATAACAAAAACATTTTTGGATCCCGAAACTTTTTCAGAACTTTTTCCAGATTGTCAAGTCCAAGGGAGGGAAATTCAACAAGTGAATTGATACACAAATCCCTCTGATGGGTCTTAATTTGATTCCTTCCCTAACTGATGTTATTTGGACTGGTTAGCAACCTGGTGAAGCCATCATGATACCTGCTTATTCCCCTGATCAAGTCTGCAATCTTGCCAATTGTATCAGGATAGCCAGTGAGTATGAGCAATCTCTTCCATGTCAGTTCTGAACTTGACTGAATTAATTTATCTTGGACCTCAAGAGTGGATTTTGTGTCCCCCCAATCAATTGAAAGGTGCATTCAAGCCAAGGAGGAATTAACGGAGCAGAATGCTGAAGAATCTCTCCCTTGGACAAAGGACAGCTTGCAAGTTGATTGGATCTTGGTCTTATTTGTTATGGCAAGCAAATAGTGGATTTGACACAAATCTTTTCAACTATATAGTGCTTTTGAATCTCTCTGTCAACCTATCAAAGAATTTGGCAAACCAAGGTGATTTTGTGGAAGATTGACTTTCTGTTCAAAAACTGCTCTGAGTTAGTGATGTGATTTTGGGAATTGTGCAGACAAGTCAAAACCCATGTGTGAAGTCCTTGTCTGAATTCCTCCTTTAGAAGATAGATGAAAGAAATAGATTGGAGAGAAACAAGATAGAGAGAGCGCAAAAAGACACAGATAAGTACCAGTGGAATGTCTGTTGGCCAAATCCTCCCAATTCATTTAACGGAGGTCAAAAAGTAACAGAGGCCCACAGACAGGGGAGGACCCAGGATAACAAAGGACCAAAAAATACTGAGGGCCAAACACAAAGGATGGCCAACAATGATGGAGGACCAAGGATAACAGAGGTTTACATAGTAGACCCTAGCTAGCGCCCCCCCAGCGGGCTTGGGGCTAGGACGCAAAGGACACAATTAGGGTGATTGCATCCTGGTCCCGCTGCCGGGAGCTGGGAGCACTAAAAATAGGATGCAGTTGGTGAAATTCCACCAACAAACACCTTCCGGTGGACTTCAGATCATGTACTCAGTCACATCCAGTCTTTGTAATCAAAAAGCAATTGCCTTTTCAGCAGACTTTTGATCTCTATAATGTGTTATTTGATGTTTTCATTGTGTTATTTGATGTTGACAATGTGTTATTGTATATTTGAAATGTGTTATTGTACGTTTAAAATGTATTATTTGATGATTAAAATGTGTTATTTGATTTATTCAATGTGTAATGAGGTGAAAGGTCCGTTAAAGTGGGTGTCTTGGGTTCCTTTGTTCACATACGTTTTTATTCTTGAGCTTCTCATCATCAGTTGCTCATTTTGGGTGAGGCCTCATAGGTATTGATGATTCGAACAACATGCACTTTGGTCCCCATCAGGGACCTTTTTACCATGATGACACGTTGCTCAATGAATACTTCATGATCACATCAACTACGTGCATGTAATTTTGTCACCTGAAGGGACGCTTTTACCACTATGTTGGCCTTGTAGCTGCAAGGCTTTCCATCAACAAGGGCTGATACCTTGAGGGCTTGAATGATGAGGCAGTCCAGATGGTTCCAAGAACGTTGTTCCCTAGCTACCGCCTCCCTGCTTCGAGGCCTCAGGGCAGGGGCGCACGGGGCGCATTTTGGTGAGGTGCGCCCCGGTCAAACTGCCGCGAGCCCCGAGCCCTAAAACCGGGGCGCACTTTGAGGCAAAGTCCGCCGAAAACACAATCTCGGCGGACCCCAGTCTGGAAGAACAGCTCCCACTGCAGCCTCCGCCGAAAATTGACTTTCGGCGGACCTTATGAAGAACAATTGGGGTTACACGTTTGATTAACTACCCCCGCCCACGACGTCGTGGCAACGTCGAGGCAACGTCCAGGCTACGTACCGCAGGTACCATACATGTATAAACTACATGTATAGTACTGTCACCCTGGTAGCTAAACACCCCAGCCTACAAGCGCAGACTCACATAAAGGTTTCAGGCAGATTCGTGTCTGAGCAACAGTACTCTGACTTGGCCAAACCTGGTACCACTGCAGAGCGTGACACTTGATTGGCCAAGCCGGAGTACTGGCACAGGCACTTTAGCCTAGTGGTTAAAGCGCGAGTCCTCACACTCAAGAGGCTGCACACCTGGGTTCGAATCCTGGGTGCGTCATTTTGCGTGAGCGGATGTCACACATGTGAAAGGTCATCAACATACAGGTCACTCATGATCGAGATGTGAAACCCATCTTCAACCCTAAGTTGCCCTACTTTGATGAAAACCACTTAGGTTTCGAGCTCCACTTGGTTCTTGTCCAGATCGATCTTTGATCTCACTTCTGATTTACAACCAACCACCTTCCACATACCTCATCCACAACATCATCAACAAAAACACTCCACACCACTACCACACTTCATCACTTCCATCATCACCACCTACTTCCAATCATACCCACCACCGAGCGATTTATAGTTCCCAACTTTAAACTATCGCAGTAAGGTCAGTAGTCATCAAGAATGTATCATTAAATCGATCATTGCTGATCTATTTCTTATGTTCGCTTGAAGTAGATCAGCAAAAGGATGTCTCCAGTGAGTAGATGGCTTACAGCGATCTCCTGGAATTAGATCATGGGCTGACAGATGAACCTACCAACAACAGGATACTCGATCAATCCCCTCTAGCAGCCCTTTAACTCCAGCACCCACCAGTGGAGCTGAGGTAAGTCCAGTCTCAAATAGAGAAGAATGATTCGAAAGCAATGTTGAAAGTTCGAAATCCGCAGGTACTTGCACCAGCAACTCCCTCACCACCAGCACCACCTGTTCAAGCACAGCCCCAGGCAGAGGAGGATGTTGATATGCAAGATGCGGTAAGTTGGTGTCAAGCAGTCATACAGCAGCAGACCTCATTCAGCTAACCTAACCTTGATAAATTGTAGGAGACCGCACAATCCGCAACCAGCGATTTAGAGGATGAACATCCAGAGTCAGAGGCTGGGGAAGATTTGAAGGTAAGCTGGGTTGATGTATACAATGACTTATATGTAACTAACACAGGTTTGATTTCCAGACAAGCGATGGTAAGGGAAGCGACCAGACTCCGGAATCGAAGTACGAGGAGCTGAGCAAGTTCAAGATACCTAAGATTAAGCGAGACGAAACTGAGGTAGGTATTCTTCACCTCACACCTCACAGCCCCTCCCCCTTGCTCCGCCGAAAATAGGAATTCGGCGGACACCCATGACACACTCTACCTCCGCTAAAACCCTTCGGCGGTCTCTCAACTACGTCATAATCGTGAATCAACTCTAATACGACTCCGCCGAAAACCAAGTTTCGGCGGACATTCAACTGACACTTTCAGGAACGCGACGTCCGCCGAAATTCCAATTTCAGCGGAGATTCTACCTCTCATCTTCCTCAATTTCACCTGATGACGCTCGAATAGTGCTGACTGTCCATGAAATCATCTTTGAAACAGGAGGGCCCGTCTCCCTCACAGGCAGTGCGAAAGATGAAGGTAAAGAAGGCATTCGAAAGGTACCAAAAATGTACGTCAATTCCTTGAAGAGTAAGAACGCGAAAGAGGACTGACCATCTTATATATCGCAGTTAAAACAATCCACGAAAACTCCTTGAAAGCCTTCAAGGAGTTCCAGGAGGAGCGAAAGGAGGACGACGACCCCGAAGATTTCAATGGCGAGCTTGAGCTCATGATGGGTGCTCTATCCATTTCGAACCAAGCTCTCAAGAAGAGGGAGAGCCAGTTAAACGAGGCCATTACCGGAGGTCATGATGAGATTGAAATTATTCCCTTCCGAAACCCGATGCCTCAGCTTCTCAAACCTGTCAAACCGACCAAGAGAAGCAAAGCATCCCGATCAGGCGAGTCTCCAGTGCTCCTTAAACTGATCAATTAACCCTTCAACTAACTGATTGATTATTCATCTGTAGGCGCGCGCAAAGGGGTTAAACGGTATTTGGATCTTGAAGCTGGGGTTAGTGAAAAGGAGATTGAAGCAGAAGGCTGCGGTGGAAGGAAAAGGCGAAGAAAAGAGTATAAGAGTGATGAGTTTGTCTACGATGATGGAGAGTTCGACATTGATCTGGGCGATAAGGATACTACGGACGAAGGTAGTGATAGCAGCGAAGACGACGTTGAAATCGTGGGGCCGGATGCGACTCAGCAGGCGAATGAGGTGGTCATGGCGAAGGATGCCATTAAGAAGGAGAAACCAACAGCGAAAAAAGTTGAAAAGAAAGCTGAAGCTCCGCTTGAACAACTTCCAATTTCGAAGACATCCATATTCCACAACTCGGACACTGTACTAGACGTTTCAAGTGAGCATCCCATCTCCGACTTCTTTTTACTTCTTATTCCTTCCTCCCTCTCCGCCGAAATCTCAATCTCGGCGGACCTTAGTTATTTCCCATTCCATTCCTCCGCCGAGAGTACAACCTCGGCGGAACGTTTTCTCTTCATCTCATCATTCCCCCGCCGAGAGTTTGTTCTCTTTTCTTCCTCCTGCATCTCCTCCTCCGCCGAAAGTACTATTTCGGCGGACGATTCTCCCCCTTCAATCTATCCCTCCGCCGAAGTTGTAATTTCGGCGGAAGCTTTTTCTCTCACGTCATGACCTCATTTCACGTTTCCGATTGCTTAATCGTTCCTTCCGCCGAATCTCACTTTTCGGCGGACTCCTCTTACATTCGTTTTATTACGTGTCTCGAATGTGTTCACTAATACATTGTCTTTTACTCCATAGAACTCCTTCACTCACCAACCAAGTCCGAATGCGATTTTCTCTCGAAATCTGCTAGTGCCCTGGTGGGCAACATCTTCGATTGGGGCGAGGCCTTGAAAGATTCGGTGGTTGGCGTTATTTCGTGCTGGCAGTACCACGAAAACAGTCAACTAGGGCAGCCGACACAGGAGACAATCCAACCTTTGGTGGTCTTGATGAAGAGGACTGTGGAGGGTAAGGAGATCAAAAAACATATTGAAACTTGTAAGTCACAATTCGAATCATTTTGATTTAATATGTATAGGTCTTACCAGGATAATAATAATCGTGTCTGTGCTGGTTTCAGGTCCGAGATTGATTCAGATTGCAACAACGGACCCTTACCTCACGGAAGAATCTATCGAATGGGCCTTGATTCACGAGTCGACGCGCTACCCTTGGAAGGATCGAAACCGCATTTTTCGCGCTTTTCATTCGATGGCTTGTCGAACTGGAAAAGAGCTGGTGTGGACTACTGAGAAGGACATTAAAAATAAAATCAAATCAGCTCATAAAACCCTTCATAAGATTTTAGAAGAAAGTGTTGACATTATTTCTTACAATACCAAAGCTGATCAAATCAAAATTCAAACTGAAGGAGAGCATAAAGTACATTCAACTCAAGTTCCCATGTCCCAAAGCATTGCTTGGGCATGGCAACAATGTATGATTAAAGCTCAGGAGGAAAAAGAAAACAAATCTAATAAAGTACATCATCAAGGTATGAGCTGGCTTCAACAGCGGTTTTTATTAATTTTATCTGGGGTCATGTTGGTGTATGAAAGAGATGTCTACAATAGGGCTCTTGAAAGGTTTTGTAATAAGACTCCTAGGACTCCTGAAGAAATCACTGCTAGGAAGAATATACTCAAAGGTACTGTTTTGAATCAGCTTTCACTAGATTATGTTAGAAAAAATCCGCAAAAAGCCTTACCTCCTTCAAGAAAGAATGAAGCTCAAAGTGAAGAAGTCATCAAAGTGTCTGAACAAGAAATTGAAAAAGCTGCAAATGAAGAGACTTATGAATTTAGAAGACTTGCACTGCAAACTTTAGCTTTATTTTTTATGTTTGGGACTTCAGGGTTGTTTCATGTTTGGGTTTGGAAGAAGGAACAGAAAATGACTGATGCAGCTTCAATGATTCATTTATCAAGTGTATTAGCTCAAAGAAGAAAGAACAATTCAAATTCAGAACCTCATGTTTTTTATCAAAGAGCTTGGAGTAGACTTGACCACCATATGTTTACTATACTTAGAGAATTTATTACTGATAAAGGGGATTTCAAGCGCACCTTGGACTGGCCAAAATTAACTTCAATGTTCCATGATAGATTTGCACCAACTACTTTATGTTACTTATATAGCTTAGATATATGTTTAGAGATTCATGCTCCTCTCTCCACCAGAGCTCCTGATGGATCCAAGGCTCCAGATTTCGACTTCAATCAAAGAAAAAAGGGTCCAGCTCTTATCCCTATTACAGAAACCTTTAAGTCTGTATGGCCTAGTACTTCAGGTAATCCAGTTCCAGTTACTGATCCTAAACAGTTGTATATAGAAGCTGATGGGTCTAGGGTGACCAAGAATAACCCTCTCAAGGCCATAACTCAGGCTAAGGAGAAGGCTAGGGAGGAAAATGGAAAGGATGGTGGAACTACTACCAATACTTGATTAGTTATTTGATGTTGTTGTGGTCTTTTTCTTTGTCTCTATGTCACTCCTTGAAAAATATACTTGTTATGTCTTGTTGTGAGTTCATTGCTCTTGAATCCCCTGCACATAATGAACCCTCTGCATCCTACTTATCTTCAGCAGTCAAGTTATCATACATAAAAGGTCCGCCGAAATTGGAATTTCGGCGGAGATCCTGGCCCACTGATATCCTATGCAGCAAATACATTTGCTAAGGATACATTCCATCATCCGCCGAAAACGCTTTTTCGGCGGACTGCACCTTTTGGGTCGTAGAGCTGCATATATGTAGCTATATACACATATGTACATGAATACATACATTATGTATTTGCACATGCTCACAGCGAAATGTGTATGTGTGTCTGCACATACATATGTAGCTATTACATGTAACAAATGGCGACTACCAGCAGAGTCTACATACAGAGATTGAGTAGTTATATACAAGCGTCTATATAGATCATTCAACAGAGATTGCATTGACATATGTAAAATGTAGGTAAGCATATGTAGCTATATGTATGTACACATACAGTGCATCTATACCACTGAGTTTATACATTATACCGAGAAGGGTGTATTGACAAACTCACCTTGACATATGTACTGTGTTATTGAATGCATACATATATGTGGCTACATGTATGTACATATAGACAGTGTATCTACGTATGTGAAAGCCATGTAT